AGAGCCAAAGATGTTAGAATTGTGTCGATGTCCCAATATTTCTGGACCTGACTGTAGCATCTGCTCAAGTTCAGTAGAATGCAGTTAACAACTAATGTTCATTCCAGCAGAGACCAAATTATTTTTTTGCCTTTGTTATAAACATTTTTGAGACATCTGAGACAATATAGTTACCCCCTTTTTCTTTACAGTGTATTAACTTTAAAGCATAGTTCCCAGATAATAAGCTTAACTCCCCCCCACTTTGTTTCATAGAGAAGAGAATGCTCTGGTGGACCAGTTTGTCTTTGAAGCATTGGTTGTATACTTGGAAAGCCTGACCTTGACACACGGAGATGAGAAGTCTTTAGGTGATATTTACAGCTTTTGTTGGATTAGACTTACATTTGGTGTTTCAAAATTCTTTAAAAACTTCAGGCTGACAGATTTTAATAGTTTTCTGTAAAATGTTTCTGTTTTGAGCAGTCAGAGTATTTCTGTTGTGATAAAAGCTGAAATTTTATTATAGAAATGTGTTGACAGACAAATTTGGAAGAATACTTTCTTTGAAATAGATTTCAGATACTTTTATGTATGGTTCATATTTTTGTATTAATTACTTCAGGATTATGTTCTTACATTTTGGTAATACTTTTATTACAATCAAAATAAGTCAGAAGCGTGTTCAAGCTTTTGAGTTCTCTGAAATTGGGGAAAAACCAAAACAATTAAAAAAATTAGGCTCCATGTTACAACTTTGTTGACTGAATATAGACTGAACACGTTTTTCAACATTAAATGCATTCAGTATCAGATTCCATATTGCCTTGTCAGACAAAGTATATGGAAGAGATACTATCTGTGGTTCTGTTTCTTACCTCTAGAAAACCTTAATGGTTCCTGACTTGGCAGAGAACAGAAAAAAGAAGTTTAACAGTCCTTATACAATATCAGCAAAGCTAAAGAATAATTAAAATAATGTGTATTTTATCATTGCAAAACCAATTAAGAGTCATTTCTGTTCAAAATTTTACTTGGTATTAGTCACAACGTTACTTTTTCTCAATTCGAAAATAGGTACAATTCAACAGTGTTGCGATGCTGTTGATCACCTCAAGCGTATCATTAAACATAAAGCATCTATTTTGAACAAAAAAAGCAATCGGAGATTACCTCGGTTAGTACTAACTTCTTTATCTATTCAGAGGGAACATCACTACATAGCACTTAAAGAGTATATCCTCTTCCTTGTACGCAGTTCTGAAAATGTTTTGATAATACTTGTAACCCATCTAGGTTTGTCTGGAAATAAGTCTTAATGATTTTTCTTTTGAGGAAACACTATTATAATCTGACTGAATATATTTCAGCATTCTACAGACTCTGTATTTGTTCCCTAAGGTTACTTGCAGCTAAGGTAGGCTATCCAGTTTAATTGACCTGGATAAACCTCTGCATCTAATTTTTTGCATACAGATTGGATGTATCTAGTTTAAATACATCCAAGCTAAATACCTGATACATACAGCACAATACAATACTGCTGCAAATATAAATTATGAGACACTGTTTGATCTGATATGGTATTGGGATTAATATTAATTAATTAATTAATTAATTAACTAATTACTAATTTATTTTGCAGTCAGGAGGAGAAATTAATATTTTAATACTAATATTTAGTATTGGAGATTAAAATTCAAGGCATGGCAAAAACCTGACCATAGTATAAGGTTCTTATGCATATGAATCTGTAGATTCTCTTATTGTTAGAGCATTTGAAATCTTATGTTTATGTTTAAATACAAAAGCAGAGCAAACAACTACTTTGTAATTTCAGACTTCATTTTAATCCTTTCCTGTAGGGGATTTCCATCTAGATTTATTTGTTTAGAGGATGTTGTCATGTGGCTTTTAAGGCAGTGTGGACAACCCCAAACTGCATGCCGACACAAAGTCATGGAACTTTTCTTTGAATTTGTTCCCTTGTTGCCAGGTATGTATATTACAGCATGTGTAAATGCTGTAGTCTGTTGCTAGCATGACATACTGACTCTCACACTATGTTATAAATTGGAAATTCCTTTTGAAATGTCATTTCTGGGAGCTTAGCAATTGATTTTACTCTTTGAATTGGATTTCCTCATGTTAATACATTCTGAAAGCATGTGGATTGGTTATAATGTTGCATTCTGCATGCCATTAGGGTACTTACATTTTATTTACATTGGTAGGACTTAAACAGTTCAATACCCTTACGGATTGGCTTTAGCAAAATCAAATTATTATAAAAAGTTACTACAGTTTTCTGTAATTATTTTAAAAATGTTTGATCATCCCAAGAAAATCAAATGCGAAATATCAAATCTTTTGCTTAATTAGCAAATATAATATTCACTTATTAGAAAGTCTGAGGGTGGGGAGAATAGTCCTTGTCAATTTTTCTGTTGATCTAGGATTTATTTAAAAATGGATCAGTTTTTAGAAATAGTTTTTAATAGTTTCTCCCCATTTTTATAACAGAAAATATTTTTCTGGTTTTTTTTTTTTACTGTAAACATGGAATTGAAGTGTAGCAAATTTGTTCAGAATCTTTAATCTGTTTGTTTCTCTAACAGGAAACAAATCCCCATCTTCATGGTTGGGTGATGTTGTTCAGAAACAAGGCATCTCTTTTCTCATAAAGAAATTTGAAGGAGGAGGATATGAGGGTGAAAGTGTCTCCGGAATCTTATCTCATCCAACCCTCTATGATTTGCAAGAGATCTTTAGTTTGCGAGCTGTTGTACAATGGATGGATATGCTTCTAGCTGCTTTAGACTGTTACAATACCTTTATCGAGCAGGGAATGATAAAACCAAATGAGATATTAGGTAGGTAGATCACATAATGAGTTTGGACTATGATTATCTTCCCAAATCCATTAGAAGAAATTATATAACTACAGATGTGAAAAAGGGTTTAATTTCATTTTTTAATTTCAGATAAATTATTTTTTTATGTTTTAGAATTTTTATAATCTGTTGACCAATGTACAGAAAATCCTAGGGTCCCCTTCCATTCTTCATTTTCTTGTCACAGCACTAAGGCAGTTGTATTTTATCATAAGGATAATTATTTCAGTGCCAAGGAATTTATATAGATTGCACTTGGATTTTTTTAATCAGTAAAGACTATAAAGGGTATAATATTTGTCATATTATGTCCATGCCTGCAGCACCAAGCACTCTTTTTACTATATTCTTTCTTGTTTCAGCTCCTTTGCTTTATTTCAGTCCCACAGTTATCCCCTAAATCTTAATTTCTTAAAAAAAATAAAGATTTTTTACTTGGTTGGCTAGTCTGTGCTATGCTGTCTCCCAACTCTCTTCCTCATTTTTCTTTGCACTGGCCTTTTCTCCCTTCCTTAGAATCTGCCTACCCCCCCAACCCCAGTTTCTCAGATAAAAAGCTTGACATTCTAAAATGTTCTAAGTGCTACAGAGGACCCCACTCTCCCTGGAGACCAGGAGTGTATAACCTAAGGCCCCAGAAGCACATGTAGCACCCAGAAGTCAGGAGCGTAGCCCTCAGAACTTCTGCAAAAGTTGATAATAGAGGCACATTCTTAAATGTTCTATAACATTTAGAAGTTATAATAATTCTGTATGATTTAATTGTTAAATTTAAATGTAAATTGGATTAAATTGTATTTTGATTTAGTCTGATCCTATCCACTGTGTCCTATCCTAAAGAATATAACCTTTTTTTTTTTACCCAGAGTGTGAACCTGGCCCAAAATAATTTGTTCTCCCCTCAAATCAAACCAAACCTGTATTATGGCTATAAGGCCAGAAGTAAAAAAGAAAAAAAATAAAGTGGGTAAAAATTATAGTATATAAAGCTAAAAAGTAAGGAAATTTGTACAAATCTTCAGACCCAAGAAGAGGCAACACTGAAGGATGTGACCAACACTGATCAAATAAAAGACGTGACAATAGAAGTCAGGCTTTTTACCATAAAATTTCTTCTGGATAGGATATATAAAGTCATTTGGTATTCCCTGTAGAGAGAGTAATGAGGGAGTATATGACTCAAAGACTGTACAGAGCTCTCCCACAAGGGCATACGCTTTGATGAAAGGGAATATTTTTGTAGCACCCCAACAGGATGGCAGAAGGCAATGCATCCAGCTTGCCCAAAATGAAGGCCTGGCATAATTTCAGGACTCTGATAGTTGAGAGGTAGGAGGCTGGCAGAGATGTGTTTGAAAAAAACCCACAAGCTGCAAGACTAGGAGCCAGTTTTGTAGATTTGAAAACCAATGTCCCACATGCTTCTGACATTAGAGAAACTAATGGGTAAACATCTCCAACAAGATTCTTAGGAAATGAATCTTGCATAAATAGATATAGATATAGATATCTAGGTTGGCTTAAAGTGGTCTCTGGGAGCCAGCGGAGCCAGACCCACTGAAGAAAAAGATGACCCAGCCAAAAGTTAGAAAGATTATGCCAGTCTCTAGCATCCACAGAAACAAGCTGTTTCTAAATAAAGTTCAGAGTTTTAAATGCATCCTGGGACGACTATATCTGTAATAAACTTAGACTGAATAGCTTCAAGGATGTCAAGGTTTTTAATAGTTGAGATGTGGGCACTGTAGAGAACGGATGAATTGCTCTGCAGGGATGAAACATCCTCCCTGAGGAAGGCAGGGAGTGATGGTTGTAATCTGATATACAACATTTGGATTATTTGCGGAAAGGAAAGGTCCTTCAGGGAAGTAGGTTTTCCTTTCTGAAGTTCTTCATTCTGACACTGTTGCACCAGACCCATCAGTAGTGTCTATGGGGAGTCTTGTATTGAGGTGGATTTGGTTCTCCACACATTCTAGAAGATCTCACTCTATTTGTTTGCTTCACTCTGCCAAAAAGCGAATATTATTGTTATCAAGGATGTTTCCAACTATATTTTTTTCCTGTTTTTACAAGCTCATTGTTTGGTGCTGGCCCTCATGAAGGCCTATTTTTTTTTCAAATAATGTATATTGGTGTAAAGGATTTTTTTAAGAAAAAAAGAAAGAAATTGAGAAGTTCTTGTGAATTCTGGAGCAAAAACTGTGATGGCTGTATTTTTAACATTTTTAAAATATTTGTTTAAAGCTACAAATACAGAGTCTTCATTCTTAAGATCACTGGAGTTCTTCCTTGGAAAAATTGCCTTGCACAATATATCTGGTGCAGAACAGTGCTTCAGCAATGCATCCAAAGGTGATATGTTGTTGAGCCCACAAGAAAGAGAAGAATACAATTACAGCAAATGTACAATTATAGTTCGGATTATGGTTTTTAGCAGCATGATTTTGGAGACTCACCAGCAACATTTCTGGAAGGTAGGCTTGGCTCCATTGGCCAAATGTAGTCAATTTATATAGCCTCTATCTCAATATATGACTAAGGGGGACATATAATCAAAACAACAATAACACAATAAAAATAAACTTATAAGACAAAGCAAATTAGTCCAGAGGCAATTCAACAATAATAAATGATTCAGATGGGATCACAAGACCACATGACCCAATGCCTGGAGGAGAAACCAGGTCTTAAAGGCCTTATGAAAGGGAGGGTGGGCCAGGACCGTCCAGATTTTTAGGAGCAGCGCTATACCATAGGATGGACACAATGACTGAGAAGGAATGTCTCCTGGGGTTTACTAGATGACATTTAAGTAATGGAATCTGGAGCATGTCAACTCTATCAGATCTTATCAGACAGGCAGAGGTAATTGGACACAGGCAGACTTGCATATAACTGGATCCTGTACCATGAAGGGCTTTAAAGTTGATTACCAGCATCTTGAATTGTACCTGGAAGCCCACATGTAATCAGTGTAGTTTGCAAAGTAGTGATGTTACATGGGTGTACCAAGGTGTACCATAACTACCTGCATGATACTGAGGTGTACCTATAACTACCCGCACTGCTGCATCCTAGACCAGATGTAGCTTCTAAGTGGTCTTCAAGCGTCATATAGAGCGTGTTACGGTAATGCAGGTGAGAGATAGCCAAGGCATGAGTGACTATGAGTTAAGATCTCCTGATTTAGGAATGGTTACAGTTGGCACACAAATGAATTTAAGGTACATTTGTGGTATAGCTTGGGTGGAGTTAAAATAGTGTAAGCGTAAAATGTCTTTATATCCCATATTGCCTTTGTTCACTGCCTTCTGACAAATTCTGACAAGTGCCTTCTGCAATCTTTCTGGCACTGCACTAAATGAGCTGAATTAATCTACAGTTAATAAGTTCCATGGTGTTTACTGTAAGTCCAAAGGAATAGATTATTTTTGCCACACATGAAGATAACAGTACTATGAGCAATTTGATAAAAGTATGTCCATTAGGTGTGTAGTCGTCTTTGGCCATGCTGAAGTTACTGTCAGAATAAAGAACTGTTACCTTTCAGCCACCTTTAATAAATTTCATAGATGTTCTTGAAAAATTAATCCTGTTGTTCATCTATAAACATACAGTTTACATAATACATTCTAAATTTATTCTGACTTTTGAAAAATGGTACAAAAATGAAATGTGGATTGAACAAAATTATTATTTCAGGGAAATGCACACAGATGGTATATTTAATGGTAAATCTTAAAATAAATGTAAATGATAAACTTTTCAGATTAAAAGTAATTGTCTATCTCATTTTTATCTTACCATTTCTAGCTGCTTGAGAAAGAGCTGCTTAATGATAATCTAATAAAACTTGTTGTGAAAACCATCTGTGACCCAAAAAGCATAGGCTTTAACATAGCTGATGTACAAGTTATAGAAAATCTCCCAGATGTTTGTGTGAGGCTAGTAAAAGCTTTGATGAAATCTCCTTATAAAGAATCTTTGGAGAACAGTATAAAAGAAATAATATCAAATAAAAGGTAAGGTGCTTTTGATTCTGTTTAAAAATACAAGTAATTTTTAGTGTGACATTTAATGCATTTGACATACAATTACAATTTCCGTTTGTTAGCATTGAAGAGCTTTGCACTGTTGATTTGTACAATCCAGAAGCCCGGCTAGATCATATTAGATATGGATCCATTCTTTCTGCGTGCAGACAGCTTCACAAGGCCGGTTTACTACACTGTATTTTGCAGTCTGAGGTAAAAATATATGTTGTATATGTTGGTATCAGCATTTTTGGGAAGCATAGGAAAGTAAATAGTTTATTTGAACTGTGTACAGTTAATAAAACATAGCTGTCATGCCAATATAACATGGTTCTTTGTTAGTCGCTGAGCTTCAGCATTCATCACTTATCAGCTGTCATGTTTCTTCATTAATTTGGGAAAATGTTTCTAGCTTTGCTTTATCTGTCTCTTTGAAAAACTTGTTGCTTAGTGTCTGAATTCACACTGTTGGTTTTACTGAATCATTTTGTTCATGTTAAAGTGTCTAACTGTCCTAATGTGTTGCTCTTTTAATGGCATCTGAATTATACCGTTCTTATTCTTAATTGTTTGGGAGATGTAATGGCTTGGAGGAAAGCCATTCTTTTTATCAGTTATTCAGTTCAAGAAGAATCTCTAGTTTTTTAATAATGAGAAAGGCTGTAAGGACTTTTTATAACTTTAGATGACACATTTATTTAGTCACTCAATTACATGTTTTTCAGTCACATGTTTTATTATTTTTGTCTCCCTAAAGGGTGCAGATCTACACTTTGAAACTGGTTCTAAGCTCATTCTAGTAGTATACAAAGGAATTGCACCAGGAGATGAAAGAAGGTCCCTTCCCTCATTAGACATCAGCAGTAAACAATTAGCCGAGGGGCTTCTGCATCTGGCTTTTGCTTTTGGTGTCCGGGTAAGGAGCCGGTGTTGTGGGTGCCTTCTGTCTCTTTTCTGGAGTTTAAGTGTATTCAATAAATCTTCCAGTTGCTGATATCTATTGCTTGTATAAGCCACCACCAAGTTAATATATCACATAAAGTGAAAACTAAATAATTTTATTTAGGAATCAGCACAGGAGGTTAATTTTGCCTTGACCCATAAGATTATATATTCTAGCCTTACTATGCCTTCTCAGTTGAGAAGAATATTCTGGGTAGAGTGAGCTCCTTGGTTTCACATATAGAGGCAGAACTGCACACAGAAGTCCCTTACAATTTCCATTCTGCAGTTCTGCATCTGAACTGCATTAGTCAGGAGACCTTTTCTTCTTTGCCTTCCCATTCCCAATCTTAGTTCATTGAGGAAGAAAAGACAGAATGTCAACAGCACCAAAGAAGAGAGGATTTAGTTTACTGGTAGATCTTCCAGAAATAGTGACAGCTGTCCAGAAGCAGCTTGCTTTGTTGGACAGCTGTGACCTACTATGCTGTCATCAGTATCCTGTTCCATTGGAAGCACTGGATAACCTTCCTATTCTGTGTACCTGAGTATCCCAAAAGGAGAAAACAGTACAACCCATGGAAGACACTTGTAGATATGCCATCTGGATGTCTGCTGCCATCTTTACCATGATAAGATTGGTGCCTAAGTATCCATAGAGACAGTTTTTGCAAGAAGAACAAGGAAATCACTGTGTGCTGCTATTGCTTGTCTCACCGAACGATATCTGCCTCTGTTGAAATAGAAAGATTTATTGTTCTTATTGGAAATCCTGATCTGTTCTGCATTATTTTTTCCAATACTGTCAATTCCCACAGTTACTTCAAGAAATGAAAGTAACATTATCTCAGCTCTTGGGTTAATCTGTGATAATATACAGTGGGGCAAAAAAGTATTTAGTCAACCACCAATTGTGCAAGTTCTCCCACTTAAAAAGATGAGAGAG